GGGCGTCCAGCCGCGGTGCAGCTGCCGCAGGTCGTAGTCCTGGGGGGACACACACACGATGGAGAGGGGCAAGGGCAGGCCACCTGCGCTGGCACCGGCCCCCCCGGTCCCCCCAGACACCCACCTGGTCCTCCTCCCCGCCGCCCTCCTCCCCGTAGTAAAAGACGTTGTCGCGCGTGTACACGATGGAGAGGGGCAAGGGCAGGCCACCTGCGCTGGCACCGGCCCCCCCGGTCCCCCCAGACACCCACCTGGTCCTCCTCCCCGCCGCCCTCCTCCCCGTAGTAAAAGACGTTGTCGCGCGTGTCATCCTCGGGCAGCAGCAGCGGCTCCTTCATCACCTTCCTCCTCCTCACGAAGAGCAGCAGCAGCAGCAGGATGACTGGGGGGGACCAGCGGTGTCAGCAGGGACGTGTGTGTCCCCTGCCCCATGGCAGGGTGCAGCCCCAAAGCACCGGGACTCCCGGGGACCCCCCACTCACGCAGCAAGGCCAGGAGGGCGCCCAGGGCGGCGAGGACGAAGGGCAGGCCGGTGGCAGGCTGGGGTCTCTGGGGACAGCTCTGCACCGGCCCCTCGCAGTCGCAGACCCGCGCGGTGACGACGGTGAGCTGGGCTTTGCCCGGCTGGTCGAGGAGCCGCAGGTAGACGCTGTAGAGGTCTGGTTCCAGCGGTGCCACCAGCCGCAGGGTGACCGTGTCACCTGCACAAGATGGGTGGCTCGCGGGGGGACGCACCGGTAACGCCACCACGGCGCAGCCGGCCTCGTGCCGAGCATCCCCCCGATGTTACCTTCATCGCCGACCTCCACAGCCCAGCTGTCCCCCGAGCCGTGGCTGAGCTCGGCGCGGAAGGGGCCGGTGTTAGGGGGCAGGTCCCTGTCGGTGACAGTGAGGACCTGCGGCTGGGGACTGCGGTTGCAGACAGTGACGTCCCGGGGCTCAGCCTCGGGGCCGTGGTCGTTCACATCGAGCAGGGTGAGGAGCAGGGTGCCGGTGCCCGTGGCGGGCGGCAAGCCTGCGGGGAGGAGCGATGCTGGAGGGGGGGGGTCCCCCAAAACCGGGACCCTCATGGGGACAGGGATGCCACGAGCAGGGGTGGGGACGGGCAGCCCCTGGCACCGCTCCGTGCCGCAGCCGGGATGTGATTCCCAGTGACGGCAGCACGTGTCCCTCACGCGGGACGGCGGGAACAAGGGCCCCTTTCACAGCCCTCACCGTCATCCACGGCCAGCAGCACAGCAGCGTAGGTGCTGTTCTTGGCGAAGGGAGACTCGCGGTCCAGGTGGTCCCGCGCCATCACGAGGCCGTTCTCGGGGTGCACGGCCAGCCAGCCTGCCGGGTCGTGCCCCACCAGGTACCTGGGGGGCAGAGGGGAGCCGGTGCCATGGCGGGGAGCGGCGGGGACCCCCCAGACCTCAACCCCAACCCGAGCCCCGCTCACTTGATCCTCTGCCCCTGGGCCTTGTCGGGGTCCTGGGCCGTGCAGGAGGCGAGGGTCTGCCCCGGCGGCACGTCCTCCGGCACCTGGGCAAGCTGCACCGGCGGGTCAAAGACGGGCGCCTCGTTGACATCCTCCACGTTGACCGTCACCGTGGCGGTGGCCGTCGGCAGCTTCACGGCGAAGGGGGCCTCGTTGGCCACGGCCACGTGAAGGACGAACTGCTTCTTGGCCTCGTAGTCCAGACCCTGGGAGAGGGGAGGGGACGGGCAGCACCCCACTGCGGGCGGCGAGGGGGGGACACGGCAGGGGCACACACACCTTGGCGGTGCGGAGGACGCCCTCGTTGCTGGCGGGGTCGGTGGTGATGGCGAAGGCGCTTCCCTCGTTGCCGCGCAGGATGGAGTAGACAGCTCGCCACGCCGGCGTGCTCGGCTCATCCAGGTCGGTGGTGGCCAGTCGGGCCACCTCCCGCCCGGCCTCGTTCTCCGGCACGGCCACCTCGTACTGCGGGTCGGGGCCACCGTCAGCACCGCAGCCCGGTGGGCACCACCCCGGCCCCGGCCCGCGGGGAGGGGGTCCCGCTGGGGAGGTCCCCGCGTTACCGTTTTGAGGTCAAACTCGGGGGCGTTGTCGTTGACGTCCGCGATCTCGATCACCGCCAGTGCCGTCGTGGTCAGCCCCTCGCCGTCCAGGTCGGCTGCCTGCACGGTCAGCGTGTACTCCCGCACGCGCTGCGGCAGACGGACAGACAGACAGACACCCCGTCAGCCCCCAGCCTGGGGCCGGGGCTGCCCACCCCGCGGTGCCGCAGAGCCCACCTCCCGGTCGAGGCCGCTGGCGATGACGCTGAGGGTGCCGGTGGCCCTGTTGACGGTGAACATGTGGGGATGGGGCTCCTGCGGCTCCTGGCTGAGGATCGAGTAGGCGATGACGCCGTTGTAGGTCTCCACTGCGTCATCCGCGTCCATGGCAGTCACCTGCATCACGGAGGTGCCTGGGGACGGGGCGTCCCGGTGAGTGGGGTGGCGGGGGGACGACGGGGCACCCACATCCCCCACGGGTCGGTCCCAGGGCTCTCCCCAAGGGACGTGGCCGGCGGGAGGCAGAGCTTCCCCGCGGCACGGGGTCCTACCCGGCAAAGCTCCCTCCAGCACGGAGCCCCTGAAGACCTCCTGCGTGAACTGGGGCTTGTTGTCGTTCTGGTCCGTCACCGTGATTATGATCTCCATCGGCTCCTCCACCGGTTTGCCGTTCTCGGACACGGCGTGGGAGAAGAGCTGCAAGGCGGAGGGGTGAGCGACGGGGCCGGCACGGCAGGCCGGCACAGCACACCAGCACACCGTGGCACCCCCCGGCAGGGACCTACGTGGTATTTGTCGATCTGCTCCCGGTCCAGCGGCTGCGTCACCTTCATCCAGCCCGACTCCTTCTCGATGGTGAAGACGCCCTCGGGGGGGGCGTCCGCCCCCTGCCCCGTGATGCTGTAGAAGATCTTGGTGTCTCTGTCCCGGTTGGATTTGATCTGGGAGGAGACATGGCGGGGCTCAGTACCCCCCCGGCCCCCCCCAGCGGCCCCGCACGCTGCCCCGATGCCGGGGGGATGGCCACTGC